ATATGTTTAAGCAGTGTTATATTCTCTATAGAAGGTACCTACTGCATTCTAGTTGGAAGCTTTAACAAATGTTATAAGTAAGAATAATTTTCATACTACCACAAGTTTGGCTCTTGTAATTCTAGTATCCGAGTAATCAACTTAAATGTCTTACTGTACTAGTTCTTTACTTTCTACCCATTGCGTGTTTTCTGAGTATAGAATTAAATTTTACCAAGAAAATATTAGTCATTTTATCATAGTATGAGAGCCCCTCCTTTTACAGAGGAAGAAATTGAGGCTCAGAGAGGTTACTTGTCCAAGGTTACAGAGCTTTAGTCACTGTATAGTGAAAGTTTTCTTGCCAGCATGTAAACTATTACTTCAAACTTTAGCATGCCAGAATGGATTGATAATGATAGCACCATTTCTGAGATTTCTGAATAGACAGGGTATGACTATAGGTTTAGGTGTTGTTTTAGTACAGTGAAAAGTTTACATGTGTCGGGGTTGCTCTGTATGCCAAAGAAAGATGAATATAAGATGGGGGCTTGGGATTGATGGCTTGGAAAAATAGAACTTTTAGATTTTGTTCTCTTAAAAGTGATATAACTTGGGGGTATCTCAATTTAGGAAATCTGTGCAGCCTTTGATGCTAAAGAAGAAACATATATGAGTCTGATGCAGAAGGGCCAGCAGATGCTTGCAAGATGCCCCAAATCTGCAGAGACAAATATTGACCAAGACATAAATAACTTGAAAGAAAAGTGGGAATCGGTGGAAACCAAGCTCAATGAAAGGAAAGTATGTACTTTGATTAATATACTAGAACCAGTATTTTAGTTGTTTTATTTCATGAATTTAGCCTTATTTTGAGGATAACTATCAGGAGCATAACTTTTAATGATTTGTTTTTAAAATTTTTTGTATACATTTATAGGTTTCCTGGGGTCAGTTGAAAATAGTATTCTATTTTAACACCAGAGACCAGAGCTAAAGGGTTACATTCAATATAGATAAAGATATAGCATAGGTAAAGTATTGCTCAGGGATATTTTTAAATGTTATGAACCGCTAAAATTCTGGATTGTTAAATAATTGTAACCACACTTATTAAACAAGGGGGCTGTTGGTAGGGGAAGGGAGAGCAAGAGAGTGAGATGACTGTATATATATTTTATGTACGCTTACATAAAAAAACATGAGGCAGTGGTTAAAATTTATGTTAAATTATGAATATGTTTTTGTCACTTTTTTAAAAACCATAAGGCAATCTAAGAAATCTCAGTATTACTGTTTAATGCTATAAGAAAAATGATAGGCTAGGAATACTAGATTATATATGCCATCATTGACAGTGCATAAAGTATATTTCATAGTATTTTGGCCCTAAAATTAATTGTATGAATGCCAATTTTTCTTCCTACAGATACTGTTTAGTAATTGTGTTCTTTGGTTAATTGCCAAAAAACATGATTTAGTGTATATTAAATTTTTTTTTTAGTTGCAAGGAGATGCTTCTTATTAGACTTAAAGGGATTTGGTTTGCAAATATTTTAGTGAAGGCCCATTGCATTTGTAAGATCTTTAGTTAATATAGGTATACATAAATAAAGTGGAGGTAGGAAAGGAATCTGCCAGAGAATGGTTAAACTGAAACGAACAAAATAACCAAAACACTTAAACATCAAATACTAAATAATCTGTCTTTGCAGACTAAACTGGAAGAGGCCCTCAACTTGGCAATGGAGTTCCACAATTCTCTGCAAGACTTCATCAACTGGCTTACCCAGGCTGAACAGACCTTAAACGTAGCTTCTCGGCCAAGTCTTATCTTGGACACGGTCTTGTTTCAAATTGATGAACACAAGGTATGTAGTGAGTCAAATGGATAGCATTCTCCTTTCAAACATGAGCCTGTTTTAATGTCAAAAGCATGTATTTGGACTGTGTGAAAACTATCTTTTGTCCTTTAAAATAGTTTTAGCTTTTTGGCACCAGAAGTATTAAGTATTTTTAAGGTTGAAACATTTTTCACTTGTTTCTACTCACGTCCTTTTTTTTTTTGGGAAAGGTCTTTGCCAATGAAGTAAATTCTCACCGAGAGCAGATAATAGAGCTGGACAAAACTGGAACTCACCTGAAATATTTCAGTCAGAAACAGGATGTTGTCCTAATTAAGAATCTACTTATCAGTGTACAAAGTCGGTGGGAAAAAGTGGTTCAACGGTTAGTAGAAAGAGGAAGATCTTTGGATGATGCAAGGAAGAGGGCCAAGCAGGTAATAATCCTTTATAAAAATTCTTTGAACTTGTCAATAAGTCATTTCTAGCTGTTGAAATAAATGTTATAATAGTAAAGTACTTTTATTGCAGGTTGTGTTAGGTGTAACAATTATGTCATGGAGCCAAGGTGTTTATTTCCTAAAAGGGCTGTGGCCTATGTTTAGATGCTGACATCACTTTTTGACCTGGCAGTAACTTCAGGCCCTGGGGACTAATTTTGGAAAGACTAATTATAGCTTGACTTCATAGACAGGCCATTATCATTAAGGCCCCAAAAAAATAGCTCAAAATTTTTGTTATTGAGTTTGTTTATTTTTCCTTTGTCCTTTGAACCTCCACTCTCATACTGAGTGAGGCATCATACTTTATTGTATTGCTACCTTTTGTTTAGTTCCTAATCCAAGCTTTCTTCACAGACTATCAGAGCTGAGAGCCAGACATGGAGCCCTACAGACAATTTTCTCAAAAGGCATAGTTTGTGTCTGAGTTGGTTGGCACTTCCCACCTCTCTTGTTGACAAGCCTTCATTTCTTCTCTAGTATTTTGATACAGCTCCATCTCACTTTGAAATTAATTGTTTGAATCTTTTGGGGCTGTTTTTTAAATTTTATCCAGAGAATTCAGGATAATTCACAAGGAATGTCCTTATTCCCTTTACCTGTTACTAACATTCTGTTCTAGACTAAACACAGAAAAGGGGTAAAATTATGTATCTTCGTACTCCATGGAAGAGAGAGATGTACCTACCTTGCTTGGTGTATATCTTCTTTTTAAATATCTTTGATTTTCACTAGAAACTTAGTGTAATATTGCAGCAGGATTTTATAATTACTCTTTTTGCCCCATTCGGCTGCATTTTTCTAGCCTTGGTGTTGTACCCCACTGTTTGGTGGGGCATAGTTGAGTGATGCAGAAAGCTGTCATGGGAGTCAAGTGTTTCAATATTTAAATCTATCAGTATAAATTTTTAAAGGCCTTAGAAATGACAAACTGTGTCTTCATAGGGTTACATGCCACATATCTTTTATTGAGTGGGAGGTATGAAATGTTCAGTGTTACAAGTGAGTCTCCGGGATGGAATCAGTCTCTAATGTTTCTTTAACACAGTGTTTATTCTGAGCCTGATATTTTTCTCTCCACGTTATGTGGCACAGTGCCACATAGAAATGCCTGTAGTACAGGCATTTCTTGAGTTGTGAACATCTAATTATAAAGATTTCTTGGATACCAGTAGCCAGTTGCTTACTCTCTTCCTCCTTTCTCCATTTAATCAATTTTATTTTCTCATTTTGTTTAATTAACTTTATAAATATTTTCTACTGTTTTCAGTGCAAATGTGTAGCATTCCCTCTATTTATATGGCTTAAAAATAGTTTTGAAAATAGGACCAGCCTTAGAACCTGTGCATTTATATCCTTGAACTTACCATCTAGCCATTACAGCCTATACTATTTGGAGTCAAACTACCTAACGCCTTGCCTAGCTGTTTCTTTATTTTTTCTTATTCTAATATCTCAGTTTTTGGCTCAGATATTGATCGTAGTTCTCTGACTTTGGCAGTTCACGTGCCTATTCTGGCCTTTATTTTTTTCATGTTTAAATTGATTAGCGTGTGACAGGGATGTGCAGGGTGAGCAGGTTTGTAATGAGATGATCTCTAGTGAGCTCTCGTAGCTTTGTGATTCTATGTCCTTCATTTGTCCTTATTGCTAGATGCCTTTTTGTTGTTTCATTATTAATGTGCTTTGGTACACAACAGATTTTATTTTGATTACTTAAGTTTTTGTTATGGATCTGTTCACTTAAGTTTATTGTGAGAAATAATTTATAACCAGTTTCACAATTGTATCTAAAAATAGTACCCACTGGTTCTTTATGATAAACAGAAAAGAAACTGTGACTGAAATCAAATATACATAGCACCAGAATATTTACAAGGCACTAGATGCCAAAGAGAATTATATTTTGTTAGAACTCAAGTATCGTAGGTGCTCGTACATATAAAACCAATGGGAAGCATAAGCATTAATTTGAGGATTTCGATGGCAGCAATAAAGATGTTGAAATATCTTTGTATTACATAGCAATGAAATGGCCCCCTGTTGTTCTTGCTGCTTTTAAAAACCAATTTACAAGCTTTATACTTCCACCTCCTCCTTTTTATTCCTCTTTGTTAACATAGGAATTAAACACCTTAGAGGTAAGCCCAGATCTGTCAAGAGCCAGCAGTGGACCAAAAATAAAAAAGATAAAACATTTTCTGAGAGTTTACGTTAATTATTGAGCAAAAAGGAAGCAAAGGAAGGAAGGAAAGAAAGGAAGTTCTCCCTGGAGCTACTTTACTGTTTCTAGGCTCATTTCTGTTTTTTGCTGGAGATGATGTGTTAAATGAGTTCTAACAAATTGACCATGGGCCACAACCACAAAGTACCAAGCATTATCAAGACATTTTGTAATTTGCTGATGAAAGCTTTACTTTTTTCTTCTTCAGCAGAAATTTTGAAGTAACAATTTTTAGCAATTAATATTAATCTATGTTGTAAAATATACTAAATTTCAAATATTATATGCTTGAAAATTTTTTGGACAAAGATGTGGATTTCCTTTACAGTTCCATGAAGCCTGGAGTAAACTTATGGAGTGGCTAGAAGAGTCAGAAAAGTCTTTGGATTCTGAACTGGAAATTGCCAATGATCCAGACAAAATAAAAACACAACTTGCACAACATAAGGTGAGGCTATAATTTTAAAAAATATTATCTCGTTATGTATTTTAAGATCACTTTAAAATTCTTGCTTGATCATGTGGAATAAAAAAGGGTACAGTGTGAATCTATATTAAATTTAAAAGCAGTTGCCCTTCTTGTTGGTCAGGTCGCAATAATGTCTTTACTGTCCAGTGACCATTTCATTAATGATTCTGGGGTTAATTGTTAAAAGAAAAACATACAAAATTAAAACTGGAAGTCCTCTACAACCTAAAACATGTAAAGGATTTCTAGTAGTTTGAACGTTGCCATTTCAATTTTTCATGACAACTGTCTTATACTTTCTTTCAGAGACCAAATGCCACTTTGAAGGTAATTCTATAGTAAAAACTAATATAGATTTTGCATACAGATTCTTTTAAACAGTGGAGTGATAAAAATTGGTTGCCCAAACCTAAATTGGTATTTTATTTGTGTGTGTATAAAATTGTACCCCTAACTTCAAAGACACATAGTGACTTCTTCATATAGACTGGAAAAGCATGTAGAAACATTGTTTTTTATATTTTCTACCTTTTATATTCCTTCCACGTGGCATTCAAAGAGCATTCCCTACCTCCCAAATCTTTTGAATTTGGGTCTTTCTAAAATTCTGTTTGTGAAGTGACAGCCAGCCATCAGGGTGAGGATGTGGGTCAAAGGAGAGTGGTTCCTGCAAATAGTTTTATAATTTTGGGCATCTGCATATAAAGTGGTGCTTGAAACATGATAATTTTAAAAGGCTGGAAAAATTGGGGCAATGTAAAATTTATCATCATCAGGAAATTCTAGCAGTCATCTTCACGTGGGTTGCTTGCTTCCTTCAGTGGGTCCGACCTCAGGAGGTCATGATGGGAGGATGATGGGAGGAAACATATTGAGCATCTGTTCTTTGGCCAGATGAGGGCCAGTCAGTGGCTCGCTCTGCTGGCACCCTCTGCCTGTGAGCTGCCACATCCAATGTTGGAAGCACAGTGACAATGAGCAGCACCTTCTGTCCTTCCCCTCTGATGGAAAAATGAGAGCCTTCTCAAAATAGAATGCCTTATTTGAACTTGAACACAGATGTAGTATCATGTAGTCTTACAAAGGTATATTGCATATTAAAGTTAGAGAATCCTGGAAATAAGACTATGTGAACAATACCTACCCTGTTAGAGTCTACTCTATTTTTCCTGTGACCTGTTGCCAAAGTCACCATTTCTCTGAGATACGTATTCAAGGTAGTTCGTTAAGCCAATTTTCTATTCATCCTTCGAGTGCCATTGTCTTTAAAAGGCATTAATCTGTCCTGTATTTAGATATAATGTTAATATGTATCTGCTGTATGAAGAAAATCTATGTCAATGCCATGACTCTGGTAACTAACTTAGAAATAACATGAAAAAAATATTTACAGATAACAATCTGTAGAACTAGTATGATATTGTAATTGTGGTATTTGTTACTTAAAAATTTCCAGATGTAAATACCTCCTATTACAAGACAAGATAAATAATGTAGTCATATTAAAACATTCAAAGTGTGTAGCTTTTAAAGACAATGAAGCCTATAGTCCCAGCTACTTGAGAGGGTGAGGTGGCAGGATCCCTTGAGCCCAGGAGTTGGAATCCAGCCTGGGCAACATAGTGAGACCTCATCTCTCTAAAACAAATAAAGCTCCCTAGTTAATTGTAACGTCGAGATTATTTTAGAAAATTATACATTTGCATAGCGTTTTACTCTCTGGGATGATTCTGATGTGCTGTCAGGTTTGAGAATCAGGTTTGTATTAGAGTTTCCATGATATTTTATGACCTTGTAAGCTGCCCATTAAGTTGACCTTTCTTTCTTCTCATCTCTGAGGTTGTTTATTCAACAGCAATTGTCTCATTTCTTCTGTTCTTTCTGTTAAATATTTGTAAGCACCTACTAAGTGTTAAGATGATATAATGAGAGGCCTACAAAGACAATGTTCTTTGCTCTATAAAAGCTTATAATTGACTTGCGTAGAAAGAATATGCAGATGCTCCTGTATTTATGATGGGTCTGTGTCATGATAAGCTCCATCATAAATTGAAAATATCATCAAGTCAAAAATGCATTTAATACACCTAATCTAGTGAACATCATAGTTTAGCCTCACCTACCTTAAATGTGCTCAGAACATTCACATTAGCTAACACTAGGGCAAAATCATCTAACACAAAGCCTATTTTTATAATAAAGTATTGAATATCTCATGTAATTTATTGACTACTAGACTGAAGTACAGTTTTTACTGAATAAATGTCTTTGCTTTCGTACCACCTTAACGTCAAAAAATCTTCAGTCAAACCATTGTAAGTCGGGGACCATCTATAATTAATCTCCATTTATTAGCAACACCTCTTTTAATGCCTTTTACCTATTTGTTCATTAGTCCCAAGTAAAAAAACACATTATTTTTTTGTTAAATACGTAGGAGTTTCAGAAATCACTTGGAGCCAAGCATTCTGTCTACGACACCACCAACAGAACTGGACGTTCTCTGAAGGAGAAAACCTCCCTGGCTGATGACAACCTGAAACTAGATGACATGCTAAGTGAGCTCAGAGACAAATGGGATACGATATGTGGAAAATCTGTGGAAAGGTAAAATATTCTTTAAATCATTTTGGTCGCTTTGTAGACCTCTGTCAAATACATAGTAGTGGTGTTTTGCAGGGACATCTTAGGAACCTTAAATACCTCCTTTGCCTGGGGAACTTCTGCTTATTCTGAATGCCCCACTCACACAGCAGCTTGCATCGAGAAGGTTTTGCTGTTCATTATTTTTTATTTTTAACTATTCATTACTATCAAAAGTGATATCATTCTCCAAGCCTTTGTCATCTCACGCCTGACTACACCAACTGCTTCTGACAGGTCGTCACAGGTCTACTTTCATCCCTCCTTTAACTTAATTTCTGTATGACTGCTAGGATGGTTTTTTAAAAATGTAAATGGAATCTTGTCACTCCTGTTCTTCATACCCTTTAGGGACTTACTACTGGGCATGAAATAAAATAAAGGCTTCTTTATGTGATGTGCAAGATACTACTAATCTGGCTCCAGCATTCTCTTCTAATCTCCATCTACCCCTTTCTGATCATTGCACGTCCAAAAACCCAAGACTTATTTCACAAATTTTAGGTATTAAGTAAGCACAATGGTAGTATAAGAGTTCAAATATCTTGTAAATTGTTTTCAAATTTTCATTAATCCTTAGTCTTAATTACTTTTGTCAGCATCAAAATTAAGTAGAATATTATATTCAGTTTTAGGGAACTCAAAATAAGTTTTTGTCCCATTGGTTTAAAAAATAATCTTGACTTCTCTAGTATCAATAGGTGACATACTTTTTACAATGTCATATAAATGATTTTATTTATGGCATTTTTGAAAAGACAAAAAATTACAGTCACAGAAGACAGTTCAGTGAATGCCAGGGGTTTGAGATGGGGGAAGATGTGACTATAAAGAGATAGCAGGAAGGAGATTTCTGAGATGGTGGAGCTATTCTGTCTCTTGGTTGTGGTGGTAATTACATGAATCTATACAAGTGTTAAAATTCATAGAACTGTACACCAAAGAAAGTCAACTGATAATTTAAAACAAATTTGAAAAAATATTTTAAAAATTAAAAAGGTCTATTTTTATGCAGTAACTTAACTGTCATTGATTTCCAAAGGTAGTGATAAGGGAATTTTCCTGGAACAGATGCAAGTATTTAAGGAATAAAAAAGAAAATTTGAGAAAAAATTTCAATATTTACTAAAGAAAGCAAAGAAAGAGCAACGAGTATCAATGTGGTGGTGGTCTTCTTCTTGATTACCACACAACCTTCATAAATGAATTTCAGATGTTCAGATATATAAGGATGGCTTTGTTGTTGCTCAGATCAATTTTTCCACCTTTTGTTCCCCAGACAAAACAAGTTGGAGGAAGCCCTGTTATTTTCTGGACAATTCACTGATGCCCTGCAGGCCCTCATTGATTGGCTGTATAGAGTTGAACCCCAGCTGGCGGAAGACCAGCCTGTCCATGGGGACATTGATTTAGTGATGAATCTGATCGATAATCACAAGGTATTGTTATCTGGGACATTTTATTTTATCCTATTGTGTGATTATTCTGAGTATGGAAGGAAATATAAACCACTTAAATTAGCCTTTTAAAATCAGGAGACCATATACCATACTACATAATAGTCTTTATTGTTGAACTGTGTGATCGTTTGAGCAAAATCAGGAAGCCAACTTTAAAAGTGATGGAGGAAAATCACTTTAGTGTCAGTGAAATACTTTTGTTTTTAACACATTGACTGCCACACTAGAAAAAAAAATTTTCCTTGGGGCCACGATGTTTTATTATAAAAATAGTATACAAACTTCAAAAACAAAATAATCCTTTGTGATTTACTGAAAATTTTGTTATTTTTTATTGTTTTCTGTGTGTGAGTTATATGTGATTAAATTGTCAATATTAATTGTAACAATAAGAACATCCAGAAGGAAGATTTTCACGAACCAACTGTAGTTATATGTGCTTCATGAGTCCCCGGGCCCAAAACTAGTATGAGTTAAACATATATTTCATATGGCAGTTAATGTGTTAATTACCAGATCTAAAACGTTTCTAGAACTTGGAAGGTGATTTCATCCTATTGTGCTTTAAAACATGGGTCATGAATGTTTTACTCTCTTTAGTTTTTCATTTAAACAATTATGTAATAAAATTTAAAATCATTCATTCAATGACCTGACACTAAGTCATTGCATGAGTGGGTAGATTTTGTGACATGATCCATGGAGAGGTCATGACCAGTTGCTTTTTATAAAAAGAACAAAATAAAACTGTTTTAACCTTGCCCTTCATAGCTGTTTATGAGTCAGCAGCATGTGCTGTGAGAGATTTGATTATTATTTACGTCAGGAAAATTGGTTTCCCTGCAATCTCCTGATATGTATGTTAAACTGTCATGCAAATCAAAGGTAATAATATTCAAGGTGTCCCACTAAGGGTAAGGTTCTAAATTATGATCTAATGATATAAAACAACTTAACCTTGGAAACAAGTACAGTACCAATGTAGAATGGTTGTATCAGAGTTGACTTTATTTATAAATATGTTAGAGCACTCTCCTTTTGAATTCATGATGTATTTCCTCTCTACTTTATAATTTTAGAGTTCAGAGAATTTATTTCATTTAAAAATATTCTCTTTATACTGATTATGCTGGTTGATATTACCTCTTCTTTTGAAAATAGTTTGTCCTTTTGCATATTTATTTTCCCTTTTCTATTTCTGTTCTGTCATACCATTACGGAGATTGTTAAATTTAAATATTATCAGAAAATAAAAGAATAAATAAAGAACATTGATCAGGCCTATAAAAATTAAAAACTTCAGCCGGCGCGGTGGCTTACGCCTGTAATCCTAGCACTCTGGGAGGCTGAGGCCGGAGGATCGTTTGAGCTCAGGAGTTCGAGACCAGCCCGAGCAAGAGTGAGACCCTGTCTCTACTAAAAAAAAAAATAGAAAGAAATTAGCTGGACAACTAAAATATATATGTAAAAAAAAATTAGCCAGGCGTGGTGGTGCATTCCTGTAGTCCCAGCTACTCAGGAGGCTGAGGCAGAAGGATTGCTTGAGCCCAGGAGTTTGAGGTTGCTGTGAACTAGGCTGACACCACAGCACTCTAGCCCGGGCAACAGAGTGAGACTCTGTCTCAAAAAAATAAAAAAATAAAATAAAAACTTTAAAAATTACATTGCTTTGCGTATATTGAAACAAATGTTTTGTGCATTATTAATACAAACTTTGCTGTTTCCTGGCATTCATTCAATGAGTAATGAATAGTGTAATGTTACTTTTCACATAAATACCATTTTTGTAAGCTCACTGTCTAAATATTTACTGCCTTAGACACTTGCCAGATTTTTTATATATTGAAGGTCATCAAGAGTGAATTACTCATTTAGCATTAGTAATACAATTGGAAGACTCAAGTTCAAGTATACAAAGTATAATGGAGAGTCTCCTCAGATCTATTGGACTAGTCCAATCATAAATGGAATATTAACATACTGCACCTTCTATACTTGTGTTTTTGTGTATGTACATATGTATTAGTGTGTATGTGTGTGTTTGTATCTGTCTATCTGCAGGTACATCTCATTTAACACTGTTAGAGTGAAATCAGTCAAAAAACTTATCACTTTTGTGATGGGCTCACATTTGTGAATGATCTGAGTATCAGAATAGAAATGTATAGATATAGCCAAATGATAATATTAATTTGTGATGATTTTTTAAAGATAATTTAATTTTATTGTGGATAGAATGTTGGCTCTTCGAAATATCTAGTTGCATATATGGACCCTTGGATCAAAAATGAAGAACCCTGGGCTCACTTCTTTGATTAAGTCTGTGGCCAAATGTAGCCAGTTTAACTCCTGGCACATCAAAAGTTCATCAAAATTAGATAGGGGGAAAAAAACTCCAAAAAGCTTTTCCTCTGAGATGACAGATAGGGATTTAAGCCTCTAAATTTCACATTATAAGTTGTGAAAGACCAAGACATATCATAGAATGAAAGCACCATATGCCAAGTCCCTGTGGGATTCTCTGCCATAATGTCTGAGAGCCCCCCATGGTGGACACCAGGATTGCCTAGTCCTCTGGTAATCTCTTAGCTGTGTCTCTTACAGTATAGTTTGGTAGCCAGCACACAGTTGGCACTCACATTCATGATTTAAGAAGGATTAGGATGCCATATTAAAAAACCATAGGAAAAAAGAATTTGATGCATTTTTTAATGGAATTGAAATAAAGAAGGCTGGCTGCCATTATTTAAATCCAATGTGTCATTTAAAAAATGAGATAATTGGGCTGGGCGCGGTGGCTCACACCTGTAATCCTAGCACTGTGGGAGGTCGAGGTGGGAGGATCACCTGAGCCCAGGAGTTCAGACCAGCCTGAGCAAGAGTGAGACCCCATCTCTACCGAAAATAGAAAAATTAGCTAGGTGTCGTGGGGTATGCTTGTAGTCCCAGCTACTAGGGAGGCTGAGGCAGGAGGATGGCTTGAGCCCAGGAGTTTGAGGTTGCAGTGAGTTATGATGATGCCACTTACACTCTAGCCAGGGTGACACAACAAGACCCTATCTCAATCAATCAATCAATCAATAATAAATAAATAAATAAATAAAGTAATCGTATCTGGTTCCCTCTTGAGGATGTTAAAGACTAAACAAATTTATACAAGACTGCGTCCTTGACAGTGCTCAAATAGGAGCAACGTGTCATTTCTTATCTTCTGAAGATTCTGCCAAAAATATAGTTCTGAAACTCTAAGTCTTTGATGTCTGTATATGATGTTATATACACATTACATATTTCAAAACAGTATGTTTTGCTGTTTTGGTTTTGTAATTAAAAATTAATTTTAAAAAAAATGTGGTCTTCTTAGGCCTTCCAGAAAGAGCTGGGGAAGAGGACCAGCAGCGTGCAGGCCCTGAAGCGCTCGGCCCGAGAGCTCATAGAAGGCAGTCGGGACGACTCCTCCTGGGTCAAGGTCCAGATGCAGGAACTGAGCACACGCTGGGAGACCGTGTGTGCACTTTCTATATCAAAGCAGACACGGTTAGAGGCAGCCCTGCGTCAGGTAACAGCCATGTAAATGGTAGCTGGGTGCAATGGGGAAAGTATGGAAACCTCAGCAAGAGCTACTCTAGTAAAGAACTATGAGGCTCCTCGTTTCTCAACCAGGACAGTCATGGAAAAGGAAATTCTAATAGCATAATTGCCTTCATTCTCCCCTTGCCTTCCCTCAAGAATTTAAATTACTCACAGAGGGAGATTTTCTAATCTTCACATAAAAGGGCTGCTTGAGTCATTTTTCAGCTTGAAAGTATGACACGCTGCCATTCATCTAAAATCAAGTTGTTAAAATGGGGAATTATTCTTCCTACAGGCCTTTTTGATATGTGAGATGTTTTCTTACATGCGTAAAATGCATATATCTCTATTTTTTTAGTGAGAGTAATAATGCATATACTTAATTTAAATTTAAGGCACTTTTATTCATTGAGGGGAAGAATCTACTGTACAGTTCTGTAAATTTTGCTAACAGGGATATTTGGGAATCTTGTTTGGGATGTGTGTGTGTGAACTGATAGGCAGAGGAATTTCACTCGGTGGTACATGCGCTCCTGGAGTGGCTGGCAGAGGCGGAGCAAACCCTGCGTTTCCATGGCGTTCTCCCTGACGACGAGGATGCTCTCCGGACTCTCATTGATCAGCACAAAGTGAGTAATATATAAATGCTAAGGAAAACTGAATGAGAAAGTCAAACAAAGTAGGGAAAATAGACTCATGATTACAAATATCAACTGCATAAATATTTCCCTTCTGGGAAGTAATTAAACATCTAGTAGGTTTGCCAATTTATCTCTCTCCTCCTTGCTTACATATACGTGTCCCCATGCACCTGCCCACACATATGTATAGCTATCTTTTTATGCATTGTTTTTAGAGAAGGTGGTTACTCTAAAATTAGTTGCTCTTTTTCCTGTCTCTAGGAAGCACATAGACTTTTCTAGGGGGTTATTTGGCTTCTGACCAAAATTGGTCAATTTCGTTGCACTGTTATGTGGATTTCAAAAAATGAAACTTTCTTAATGAACATTTGGCATTTATAAAATTACACCAGTAGAATTGTAAATTAATAATTTTGACCTTTGTAAGCAAGATAAGTAATTTAATAACTCATATTTAAATTTCATTTTTAAGCCTCTGCTGCTTCTGTTTTTAATCAGGAGCTTTTTAAATCCTTTTTAGAAGTAACCTGTAATATAATTATAAATTTAAAAAATGAATTCCATCAGTAGATATACTGTTGAATAATTAACCAAGTAAAAATCTGGCCATTGAGTTTTCAAGTCAAGATCTCTCCTGTGGCAATGCATGGAACTTGGCAAAACCCTGAAGAGAGTGATCCAGATAGCTCTTAACAGATGTTTTTTAACCTTTGACTTGAAAAGTCAGGAATTTGAAATGGTAACACTCAGTGTAGCGTTGATGTCAGCATTTTCTATTAACTTTAAAGGATCTTTTTAACACCACTAAATAACCCTATCTTTCAAGGTCAAGCTGGAAAATACATCATTAATTCCAGTGTTGTATGGATTATATCATCTGTAGACTTTTTATGTTAATCAATACCCTCTATGAAAGGTGGAGTGTCTAACCTATAGCAATGAAATATTGCTTTCTCATTAAAAAAGTGATATAAGCTTATAGAGCATTATCCAGAGGAATGAAATGCTACATACACCATTTAAATTTGAAGCTAGAATATAAGAATAGGACAATGACATCAAATTTATTGTACATTTTTAATTCAGCTTAATATTTCAAAAATCTAGTTCATGTCATATTATCGTGGGCTGACCATCAGCCGGCATTCAGTTCTACTAACATCCTTGGGTTTAGGTCTCAGAGTAGCAATAAGTATCTGCCGAACGTTCCTTGAAGCCCATAGTGCATATCTAAGACCCTACAGAAAGGAGCCTATTCGTGGTATCCCCACCATCACAGCAGGACCAGGAAACCCTCGGGAGGCAAGTATTCAGAGGAAGGGTGGTGGTTTTTACAACAGATTATTTTTAAATATTTTCAAATAGCATAAAATTACCTGCAATTTTATGAAGTGCTTCTTAGTAATAATATTTTGTAGTAACATTATTCATTCTTTTCCATTTCCTCTGCTTCCCTTTACACGTTCACCATTCACCAACTGAAGAAAAACAGAACATTTAATTTAATTTAATTTCTTAGCACCAGGACTAGAGACTACTCAGTATAGCCCAGCTTTCCCACGTGAGTACAAACCACTATGGGAACATTCACGCTAGATTGGAGGAGCACAGAATGAGCTGGGAAGTTCAGAGTCCAGGCTACCAAATTCTGGGCATGACCCTTGGCTCTTCTAGGTGTAGAAGGGATTGAAAGTACGTGATCTGTATCAGCTATTCTGTGGGGAAACACAGCTCTTAGATTAATGTACGTTTTCCTCTTCCTAATAAAGTGGGGTTTTTTTAATTCTTTCGTTTAAGGGGGTCTGTAGTAGGGAAAATTAAAATATTTTTAAAAGTAGGTTATGATATTGAAAAAGTAAGTGGTGTTATAAAAGTATATTGTTCATTGAACCTTGACTCCATAATAGTAAACATTCATAAATAAAAGGGCTAAAAAGCATTTATTCAATCAGTCACAAAACTCTTTTGAGCCAATTACTGGAAATGGAAAAACGAATGACACAATCTTTTAATCTCGTGGACCTCAGAGTCTAGTAGACATGTATGTAAACAATTACAATATAGCAAAATGCTAGAGTAGGAGGTGTGTAACAGAGCTGTTTTGCAGAGGTTAAAAACGCAAGGTCGCTATGTATTATAGTAAAACACATTTTAAAATGAACACCCTGTTCACATGTCGGGAGTAGTAAGGGTAGCATCTATGTCTGCAGCCACTAATCACTGTTAGTGTGATCAGGTCATCTGTCTTAGTGCAGGGGTCCAGATAGATTGGGGTGTCTGCAGATGAGAAAGCATGTCACATTTTTTAGGGCACAGGTCCCCATTTTTTAACTATATTTTTGGAGTTCTGTGATCCATGTATCTATGAATGGTTCTGGTGGTAGAAAGTACAATTATGTATGTGAGACATTTGTAGAAAGGTTATTCACAAGATCGTCCTTGATCTTTGTTCAAGGATGATCTTTGTTCAAGGCTTTGCTCATCCTGCTCGCTCACAGAGACTGGCCAGAAGTGCCAAAACCCCCTCACAGAGACTGGCCGGAAGTGCCAAAACCCCCGGCATGGAGGAGAGCGGCTCTTAGTGGCTTTTTAAAGGGATGGTTCTCTCACAGGCTGGCCACTGTCAGGCCCTCTCCCTCCAAACTCCCCCTGATTCTTCACTGTCTGGACCCTTGGGGCCCTCTCTCTCATACCCCTATAGTTCCTTATCCAGCCTTCTCTCTTCTTGGTAATTTAGTTGTACATATTCCTGTCTCTCCTTGCACAATTAATGCTATTTTAAATACTAACCTCCTTATCTTAGTTAGAACTTTTTTGCAATGAATATTGTTTTTGTCTCTGGCAATGCTGTCTCTCCCAATCCTACTGTCCTTTAGTTATATCATCAAAATATGTCCAAATTTAGGAGGGTTTTTTTTTTTTTTGTATAATGTATTTTTAAAACATGAGATACCATCCTGTACAGTTGGCCTTCTGCCACATCTGTAGATTAAACCAACCTTGGGTGGAAAATATTATTAATAAAAAAAAATGGATGGTTGCATCTGTACTGAGCACACACAGACTTTTTTTCTTGTCATTATATCCTAAACAATACAGTATAACCACTATTTACATAGCATTTAAATTATATTAGGTATTATTAGTACTCTAGAGATGATTTAAAATATACAGGAGCATGTGCATAGATTATATGCAAATACGATGTCATTTTATGTAAGGGACTTGAGCATCTGTGGATTTTGGTATCTACTGGGATCCTGGAACCAATCTCCCATGGATAGCGAGGGACGACTGTTCTTGTATTTTGAAATATGTAATACAAAGTACTATATTTTCTATTTTATCCTCGTTTCCTCCCCAATTAGTGGATGATTTCCACTGTGAAGAAACCAGTTGAAGTTCTTGTTTATTTGTTTAACTCTAACAGTCAAACAAACATCACCAGCATCTTGTTTTCAGCCAGTAGCAACAGCTAACTGAAGTCTTTGCTTCTGCTGTAGGAATTCATGAAGAAACTGGAAGAAAAAAGAGCCGAACTGAATAAAGCCACCAGTATGGGAGACGCTGTTTTGGCTATCTGCCACCCTGATTCCATCACCACCATCAAGCACTGGATAACCATCATCCGGGCCAGGTTTGAGGAGGTCAGTATGTCTCAGATGATCTTCAGAGGAGCAATAGCTTTGAGAGTTGGGGGAGGAGGTGGGAAATTTCAGCAATTGAGATGTACTTGACCACCATGGGAAAATGAGACCTTTACGTAGATAATATTCTTTAAAATGCCCTTCTTATGTGCATTACCAGTCTCTGAAATGCACTTTTCTTTAAAAAGTTAAGGGAATTTTACAGCTCTGTCTATGGAATGTTAAAAGGCAAATATTTGATTCACTGTATAACATTTTGTCCCACTTCCACGTTGTGTCTGTTAAATAATCCAGCAGTTGAATAATGTTTCAGAGCAGTATATACTTGTGGAGTGAAGTGGTATACACAAAGTAAATTAATTCTCTAGTTAAAATCTTAGCTTTTTTTATTTCTACTCTGCTATGTGGAGGAGACATACTTGATCCTTCAGAGAATGTATATTCAATTTTAAATTAGAAAGCAATGGGAGCCTGAGTGATTGACACACATCTTTAAATTCTACAGGTGGTGAACGTCAGAGAGAGGGCTCTCATACCCTCCTCAAGCTGGGTCTTCGTGCCACTAAGGGGATCTGGAAAGACTAGAAGCATTATGGGTCTAGCTGAGGATGATCCTAATTTACATTTAAAATTTGTTTATTTTATATCAATGCAATTATTTACATAAGTTGGAGAAATTCAGAGAAATTTCTGCTTCTCTGACAGGTGCTGGCCTGGGCAAAGCAACATCAGCAGAGATTGGCAAGTGCTCTGGCTGGGCTCATTGCTAAACAGGAATTGTTGGAAGCTTTGCTAGCTTGGTTGCAATGGGCTGAAACTACACTTACTGATAAGGATAAAGAAGTCATCCCCCAGGAGATCGAAGAGGTGAAAGCCCTCATTGCAGAACACCAGGTAAGATAAATATAATCCTAACCCCCATTAGCCATCATCTCAGACATTTCCTTTCTTTCAGTGCTGTACTCCTCAAAACATTGCTTTGTGCTTGTTATTTTCACTTCTTCAAACATACTCCTCAGCTCCTTACAACTGGATTTTAAATTCTACAGCTGTCTTAAAACCTGTTACTGTCTTCACAGTAACCCTCTGTGACCTTCTCCTTTGTCCCCTGTGAAGTTATACTCATGTGGTACTGTCTCACATTGGCACCTGCCCTAGCCCTCACCTTCTAAATGTCAGCTGTCCTCACCTCTTACATCTTATCCCCGGTTCTCTACTCCTCACACTCGGCTCCCGCTTTTGGTGATCTCACCCACCCTCATGGCCTCAGCTGGTACCTTGTTTTATTGCTCCAGTGTTTGCACTTTCATCTGCTTCCCAAGATGACCATCAGTACTCCAAATACATCATACGTAAAAGGGAACGCATCACCTTTCTGAGAAAAATTGCTTCCCCTGTATATCCTACTTGTTTTAAACTCAAATGATGGGCGTCACACTCACTCTGATTTATGTGATTGCTTGTTAGTTTGTTTAATGTGTATTTACAAAGAGAAACGGTAAGTGTCAGCTCGGTTGGTTAAGCCGCTCACATTGCCGTTTTTATATTTTAATAAAAGTCTAAGATATCACTGTCTATAATAGCCCTAGAGTCTCACGTTATGTTCCCCGTGATCGGAAGTACTGAAGTGGTCTGAGCTCTCTGGTGTGACAAATATTCCAGAAGTGCGTTCTTTTACTTTTGTCTGCCTCTCCTTTTTCCCAACACTTTTCATAGTTTCTGCCTTTCCTTAGCCTTTGCTACAAATTCTAGATATAGGGATACCTAGGCAGTAATAATAATAACGATAAGCCTAAAGAGACAAGCTAAGCAATGGCGAGAGAGTCAAACTTTTTAAATATAACTGTAGTAAACTTTAACCTAAATAACTTCTACCGTCCTTGGAATATCTTATTTATGAATATTTTGATATATCCCCATTTAATGCGAATGCGTTGTGTCACTGTATATCAAAGCCATCTTATATATTTCAAATATTTAGGTGAAATGTGCCACAGAAAAGTCCCAGGAAACACCCCAGCTAACTAGTTCCTTTGCCAAGAAATGCTAACTTAAGGATTCTTCTCCAAGGGCTTGGAAGCTTGATCTTCGTTGGTACACAGGTTATTTCATTCACACGACTGCTCCCATATGTGGTCTTCAAACTGAAACAAATTATTTTTATTTTTAATTTTAATTTACTCTCTTTACCAGCTATAACATTTTGCATTTGTTATATTTAAAAGTTAGTAAGTGCTGTGTATGGTAATGGTTTAGATTTTTTTCCCCTAAAGATAAAACCTGATGATTTATTCTCCTTCAGAAATAATAGCATGGTTCTTTTATCTTTTTGTTTTTAATTCATTTTTAAAGACGGTTTTCTCTGGTGTACTTTTATTTAATTGACATCATTTTTTTCATTTCAGACCTTCATGGAGGAAATGACCAGAAAACAGCCTGATGTTGATAAAGTCACCAAGACCTATAAGAGGAGAGCAGCTGATCCTTCCTCATTACAATCCCATATTCCAGTGTTGGATAAGGGACGAGCAGGAAGTAAGCAGTGGCCAATTTCTTTCAAATGTAGATGATTAAACAAGGAAGGTAGTTTTCTCTTATTTTGAGTTATTGTTTGATTCTCAAAATGATAGAGCAGTTGGTGATTCTACGTGAATGCTCTATCATAAAAGATTTTCTTGAAAGAATGCATGGGCTCAAGTAGTGTAACAACTTGTTTAAAAATAAGGAAAAAGATACATGTAGGTTTCTGTATTTAGTTTTATCTGCTTGAAGTATGTATCTTTCAGATTAGCTAGAAGAAATTGGAAAAATTTGCAGCAAGAACAGAAATCACCCCCCTGTGAATTGTCTCATTTTTCTTCTATTATGTAAATATTAATAATGTTAAAGCTGAACATAACAAAAATGACCATGACCTGTATAATGTTCATGACCTAATTGTTCATTAGTGATTTTATCCATGTTCATGTGACTTCAGGTCTATTTACTTCCTGGGCTATGTTAATCTAATGAAATAACATTAAAAACAATAATAGCTTAGAGAAGATTTAAAAGAAGCACAATTTGTGTCGTATGTTTTGCATATTTCTTAGTTTTTCTTTTAATTAAAAAAGGAGTGGTGTCAGAGCTGTTGTAATTACCGTGTTACACAAGGAGACAAAGTAACAAACTGGTTAAGAACCCTGGAGTCAGACTCCTTGGCTGTCTCCACCACTTACCAACTGGGAAACATAACTTTGGACAAATTACTGAAGCTCTCTCTGAACCTCAGTTTCCTCTTCTGTAAAAGGGGGTAATTATAACCTCCTTGGACTGTGGTGAGAATTAAATGAGCAAATGCATATGAAGTACTTAACATACAGGCATACTTATAGGTTAAATGTTCAATAAATAATTAGTTATTGATATAAATCCCCCCTTGGACACTTAGCATTCTATGTGACCTTAGGGCAGTCATTTTTCTGGCCCACATTTAACCGTTTAGTTAGATGAGGAAAATGTATTGAAATAATTATTTTATAAAGTTATAGAAACTTGTGAGAAACAGCCAGAAAGTGGGAGAAAACTTTAGTAAGGCAGAAAACTTGGGTATGAGACTATGCACAGGAAACATGCAATCTCAGTGGAAAATGGACTTGAGCAGAAGCTGGGATCCTATACGTATACTCTCATATTTAGTTGGGATTTGTAAAGCATCTTGCCGTGACTCTAATCGCTACCCAGTGTCTCCTGCCCTCACCTGCTCTCCATTTCCGCCTTATTCTCTAAGAAGGGCAGCTGGGTTTCTTGTAACTGACTTTAAGATCTGTCTCAGTGTCCTGGGAGATTTATTTTATCTTGCCTTAACAGAGAGGAGGATCACAGCATGCTTCATTGTCATTGAAATGGCATGAATTTTAAGCTGGAAGATGTTCTGAGCATAAATTTATTGAGAGAGCTTTCGAATAGTTAAATGCCTCTCTCAAGATATATTTCTCTAAATTACATGAACAGTGTGTGATCCTTAATAAGTAAAACAGATTTTTTGTTTGTTTGTTTGTTTTCTTTTTTTTCTTTTTATTTTAAGAGTATTATAGAGGTACAAATGTTTTGGTTACATAAATTGGCTTTGCACTGCCGAGTCAGAGCTACAAGTGTACCCATCCCCCAGATGGCATGCATCCATCCCCTCCTACCTCTCCCACCTGCCCAACACTATATAAATGTTATTTTCCATATGTGCACATTAGTGTTGATCAGTTAGTACCAATTTAATGGTGAGTACCAGTGGTGTTTGTTTTTCCATTCTTGTGATACTTCACTTAGAAGAATGGGCTCCAGCTACATCCAGAATAATACAATAGGTAGTCCGCCAGTTTTTTTTATGGCAGAGTAGAACTCCATGGTATACATAAACCACGTTTTATTAATCCACTCATGTACTGATGGGCACTTAGGTTGTTTCTGCAGCTTTGCAATTGTGAATTGTGCTGCTATAAATATTATAGTGCAGATGTCTTTTTTATAGAATGTCTTTTTTCCCTTTGGGTAAATACCCAGTAGTGGGATTGAGGGATCAAATGGTAATTCTACTTTTAGTTCTTTGAGGTATCTCCATATTACTTTCCATAGAGGTTGTACTAGTTTGCAGTCCCACCAGCAGTGTATGAGTGTTCCTATCTCTCTGCATCCACGCCATCATTTATTGTTTGGGGACTTTTTGATGAAAGCCATTCTCACTGGAGTTAAGTGATATCTTCATTGTGGTTTTGATTTGCATTTCCCTGATGTTTAGAGATGTTGAGCATTTTTTTCATATGTTTGTTGGCTGTAAGTCTTCTTTTGAAATTTCTGTTCATGTCCTTTGCCTACTTTTTCATGGGGTTGTTTGATTTTTTTTCTTGCTGATTTTCTGGGTTCTATATAGATCTTAGTTATTAGCCCTTTATCAGATATATAGCAATATAAATATTTTCTCCCATTCTGTAGGTTGTCTGTTGGCTTTAATGATAGTTTCCTTGGCTGTGCAGAAGCTTTTTAATTTGATCAGGTCCCATTTATTTATTTTTGTTGTTGCTGTGTTGCTTTTGGGGTCTTCTTCATAAATTCTTTGCCCAGGCCAATGTCTATAAGAGTTTTTCCAACATTTTCTTCTGGAATTCTTATGGTTTCATGCCTTAGGTTTAAGTCTGTTATCCATCAGGAGTTGATTTTTGTGAGAGATGAAAGGTGCAGATCCTGTTTCAGTCTGCTGCATGTGGCTATCCAATTTTCCCAGCACCATTTATTGAATAGGGATTTTTTTCCCCAGTGTATGTTTTTGTTTGCTTTGTCAAAGATCAGATGGCTAAATGAGGATGGTTTTATATCTGGATTCTCAGTTCTGTTCCATTAATCTATGTCTCTGTTCTTGTGCCAGTACCATGCTGTTTTGATTACTATAACCACGAAGTATAGCTTGAAGTCTGATAAATTGATACCTCCCAATTTGTTCTTTTTGCTTAAGGTTGCTTTGGCTATACAGGGTCTTCTCTGGTTCTATATGAAGTGTAGAGTTATTTTTTCTAGATCTGCAAAAAATGACATTGGTATTTTAATAGGGATTGCATTGAATTTTTAGATCATTTTGGGTAGTATAGACATTTTAACAATATTGATTCTGCCCAGTAAAAGAGATTTGGACCTTGACATTATGCATCATCTAAATTAGGATATTTTTACTTGTAATACTCAATAATTAAGTTGATTCGGTTTTAGCTAGGAATGAAAAAGGTCAAACCTTAACACATTTCAGAACCCTCGAAACAGCCATCCTAACTAAAGTTATGTTTTAACAGGAAAACGCTTCCCAGCATCAAGCTTATATCCCTCTGGATCACAGACACAAATAGAAACCAAGAATCCCAGGGTAAACTTATTGGTGAGCAAATGGCAGCAAGTCTGGCTCCTCGCATTGGAAAGAAGGAGAAAGCTCAATGATGCCTTGGACAGGCTAGAGGAGGTTAGGAAACTTATATACTCATCACCATGTTGTCCTCATTCACCATAACACATTGCAAAAATCTTGATTTTTTTTTTAATAAAACTTTTCTGATAATAGGTAAGCAAACTCTTGCTATCTGAGTGCATGTTTTACTGCTACAGTGAATACCACAAGTATGTATGATTTTGTGGAAAACTGACATATGGGATTAGGGACTCAATAAAGTAAAAAGCTATTATATTTTAATAATTAGAAGCTGATTCCTTAAGAAAAGAGCTAACATGATATAATGTTTGCTGGTGGTACTACCTGGCAAATATAATCATTTATAATTCAGATATTTTAATTATATATATCTTATGACCTAAGATTCATAATTTTAGATTCCAAAATTGGGAAATATTTAGAAGTCTAGGGAGTTAAGAGAGGCTAATATTATAGAGGAGGAGAGAGCGAGGGGTTGGGTGAGTGCTATTGATCTGGGCCTGCTAGTCCCAGGGAGCATGACTCATGGCAGTACTTTGGGGAAGACTGCCTTTGTGACAGGCATTAATCAGAAATTTTTGGTTTAAGTTTTTAGGAGTTTTATTTGTAAAGAAAATCAGTGATGATAATGAAATAAACTTCAAAGAAAAACTGTCTCTGAGTCCCCTTTGCAAGATCATACCTTTTTTTGAAATGGCAAAGATGCATGTATTACCTAGAAAGTCATTTAAAGAATTTTATTCGTATAGGGTAAGATATAATTTGAGCACAGAATTAACCAAAATACCTTCTGTCCTTTCTAGCTGAGAGAATTTGCTAACTTCGATTTTGATATCTGGCGCAAAAAATACATGCGGTGGATGAATCACAAGAAATCTCGAGTGATGGACTTCTTCAGGAGAATTGATAAAGACCAGGATGGGAAAATCACACGACAGGAATTTATTGATGGAATTCTTTCCTCGAGTAAGTCCCAAGGGAAGTGACTGTAACTGATGTAATTTTTAAAGAAAATAAGCTTGTGTTACTAATACAACAACGTCTTTAAAGTTGGCTGGGAAGCTACCACCCAAAGTATCTTTGGTAAAATTTATGGCTGTGGAGTCAGGCACACTTACTAATTGTGCAACCACAGACATGTTCCTTCACTCCCGTGACTCTGTGTCCTCATTAGTATAATAAAGTCAATAAGATGTGATTCTTTAGTTTTTGTGTTGCCTAGCGTATAATAGGAAGTCAATAAATGCAAGCCCCTTTCTTTTTCATTCTAATTCACATTGTGATCTAACATTGTCATTAATAGGAAATCAGAACTCTATAAAAATTCTTAAGATATTAGTCACCTTCTTGTTTGATGGTTCAGTCATTTGTGTATGATTTTCCTGACAGATATTACTAGGCATCATTTTTGAAGTATTATTTCATACTAATAATTCTTTCAGTAGTAGTTGAGCCATATATAAAATTGCTGATACTAAACGATTTTCAACCTACAAACACAACATTTTCATACGATTCACCCAAATAGTAATTAAAGATAAATTTGGATCATATGTATAGCTACCATTCAGTTTTTTAAAAAGGATTTTAATATATTTGATCAGCCACACCAAGATTAAAATGTGCTGTCAAGAATGTCTTGAGGCAGAATTAACAAGTTAGATTACTTACTCTCGTTTTGAAAATTTTAGAGTTCCCAACCAGTCGCCTGGAGATGAGTGCAGTTGCAGACATCTTTGACAGAGACGGTGATGGATATATTGACTACTATGAATTTGTAGCAGCTCTTCACCCAAATAAAGATGCATATAAACCTATCACAGATGCTGACAAAATCGAAGATGAGGTACTCATTAGCTTTCCACTGCCTAGGACAATAATAGTGTGTTCTGCTAGGATATCATGCACAATTCATGCAACCATTTTATTTATTTTCCACTTTAGTTGTTGTGGAAATTTTAAGAATTCCACTATGTAATATTAACATTAAAGTGAATATTTCATCGTTGTTTTTGGCAGGTGACAAGGCAGGTAGCTAAGTGTAAATGTGCAAAACGATTTCAAGTTGAACAGATTGGTGATAACAAGTACAGGGTAAGTTTTCAAAATAACTTTGTAGTTCCTTTAAAGGATATAAATTGAAATGTGTATACAAGTTGATCTGCATTGTTTTCCAGGAATCCTCATTATTTATTTTACCTTATATCAAAATTTAATGGTATATGAAACCTCCCAACTTTTATCATTTTAAATTATATAAAGGTAGCCTGCATTTTGTACATTAGGATGTATCTTTGACATTTACAACATGTACATTACTTTGAAGTAGAAAATTATTCACAAGAAAACACTCAAATGTCATATATTTAGATTGTTTCATATTACTTTATAATATATTTTATTATGATTAGAGGTAAGTTTTCAGATTTCTAACATCAAAGCTCTTCTAAACCAGAACCACAAAGTTAAAAATATTGACTCATTTTTATAAATATGAAAAAGAGGCAATGTTTATTCCACTTGTGCAGTAATTTTTGCATTTATTCAAAATCTCAGTTAACTTGGTTCACCCTCTTCAAAACAGAAGAACAATGTGACTTCATCACTCTTCCTCTATTTTTTTTTTTCTCTTTTTCGGAACATCTCGTATCTGTAGTAGCTAGATAGGAAATGTGCTGAGTTTCCCTAATACAGTGTGTTACTTGTCAATGCAACAGTATTCATCTATACATTCAAATTTTTAACTTAAATTTTGAAATACTAAGATTTTCAAAAAAATTTCATAGAGAAAATTTTCTGATTATTTGGTTTGAAATTGGGACGACTGGGTGCTTGCACATCTCTAAACTAGATACTACATCCAGAAGCCCAGAGTGTGAGTATGTGTGTGTGTGTTCTAGAGTCATACAGAAAGTTTCCTGTTGAACTAATTGTGTCTTTCTTCCATTTTTCATTTTTTTTATCAGTTCTTCCTGGGAAATCAGGTATAAACCAGTGGAATGTATTCTCAAGTTCCTGATGACTTTTTTTTAACTTTAATTCATAGTCATTAAAGCTTGCCATGGCCAATCTTCCCCATGCTGTCTCCCTAGCTACTACATTGTTGGTTGGCGTGGTGTCTCTGTAAGCGCTATAAGGGTCCTTGATCCAGGATTCCTTTTTGCCTTGTGTCTCAAAGGAGGAGATTACTTTTAAGCAAACCAGATAATGAATTGTAACTTGGCTACCATGTTGCAATTTTCAATTCCCGTTTTTTAGAATACTATTAGCATATATTTCATGCAAATACTCATTGGAATACAAATTTGATTCTCCACACATCTCTGTGTAGCCTCACTGGTGTTTGACTATTTAGGACTTACGGTATACAGGTAGCAGAGGATGACCAGCATCTGGCAGTGACATGGGAAGACAGAGCACTGAAAGGTCTCCTTGGTCCTCAGCCACGAGTAACATATTCTCTTCACAGCAGCTCTTTTCCACTTGTTCTAAATCATTGATTTAGGGCTTCGCATCCTGTGAGTAGAAGTGTTAACCCTGCAGGTTTTAAGGGATGTCATTCCTTTTGAGGAAAGTTATCACATATAACTTACAGAAAATCTTAAAGTCACGTTTTATGCCATATTGACCAAATGTTTATATTGACATTTGAGGCAATATAAACTGTCTAGTGGCACTGCTTCATGATCAGAGTGTTGAAACTAAAGACAAGAAATACTGTTTTGATTTCAGCTTGTTCAAGAAGATTCTTTTTACTCTAAGCTTTTGGAAAGAATCATGCTATCTATAGTACCTGACCATATCTATTAGATATTACTTTGCCACTTCATTTTTAAGCCATATTACATCTCAAGTTTCAAATTATCTATTACTCCTATTTATTGCAAGCAAATAATGTATTTAAAATATAAATACTCGGTTACTTTGAATAGATTTTTTTTTTTAAACTTTCATTAGTTATACTGTAATACATAACATGTTACTTTTCCATTTTTGTTATTTTCCGAGTCAGCAAATGGGATTGCCTCTTTTATTTGTGGAGAGGATGAGAGAAATATTTACCTCAAAAGGTTTTATTCACTAAAAGCACAAATAGCAATATTAGTCTATTTTTTATTGTCTCACGATTTGGGTATTGGGAAAATTAGGGAAATTCTGAAGACAATGTTAGCTGTCTGGAGAATGCCCTCTTAAAATAAAATTGAAAATTATTCACATTTGTTGGAATTGAAATATCATCTCTATAAAGTACCTTTAGTTACTTCCTTAACACTTCTGTTTCGAGCACAATCGTGGGCCAAAATTATCTGGTTCCTTAAGGGTAATTTTCTTTAAATCCCCTTCTTTCCCTTTGCTTATGAGCAGCACCAAATTTTTTCTAACAAAATAAATATATCTTTTTATTTTCAAATTTTCATTTAAATTTCAGGAACAGTTTCAATTATAGGAAAGTCTAAGTCTCAGTGTTCGAAATCAGATTTAGAAATAGCGATTTAACAAGGTTTGATGGAAAACACATGAGTTCCTACTGGTGCATTTCACGTGCTTTCTAGGTCCTTCTGAGTTTGAGGATCCGGAATGGAACTTGGTTGGCTTTGTTTTAGGGTTCTCTTCCTGAAATTCAATGGCAAAACCTGCCGAAAAGTAACAGACTGTTTCTACTTTAGAGTTTTCTGTTTATCCATCATGACTTTAACAACATAGTCAAAGTCACAATTGCGTTTTACCTGCTTTAAAGAGAATCTATTAATGTTTAATTGACTGCTCATTTTGCTTCGTTATCTTCTGGGTTGGCAACCATGAAATTCAGTCTGGTAGTTTTTATGAGTTGGACATGAGCCTATTAGAAATGATTTAAAAGTATAAAATCATTTCTCACAGGCTTTCAAAACAAATAAAGCTATGATTAGGAACTACCTGTAGTCTAGAAATTTATTCAGGACTTGGAGAATTTTTAGCATATACAGGTGATTGGCGATCCATCTGAAAGGGCAAGACAAGGATGATTGCTTGTCAGGGTCAACCGTTATGGTACCAACAGCTGTGGAAGCTGCATCATTAATAATGTGCCCGTGACCATTCTAATATTATAGTAATCTGAAATGGCATATTAATGCAGCCTTTAACAAATTGGTTTACTAGATCATTAGAGATGCAAAAGTTTTAATTGACTGTGAAATTTTTATTAGTCATACTCACTTACACCTTTATTCTCTATAAGTCAAAACTGCTCTTAGAGAAAACAAAATGAGCTTATGACAATTTCTCCCATATATTTTAGTGGAAAACAGTTTTAATGTAAAAGGTAGTTTTAATGAAGAGGAATCAAAGGGTATTAAATTTTCCTTAGTGTCATCTTATTTTGTATAAGCCCTGGACCAGTGGACCAGTGTTTATTTTCATGGCTGTGTTTAATTTCTGGAAACATTTTAAAATTACTACCTTACTAATATTGTTTCTATCACAAGAAAGAAAAATAATTTTTAGACCAAAGCTTCAATATTATACTTGATAACCTTTGTAATCTTTTTTCAAACTGTTTCTTTGGGGCTAAAATCAGCATGCAGCAGTCTAACGCAGATCATTACAAACCCCCTTTTCTGAGATTTTACTAATCGCTATGAACTAAGCAAGACATTAGAGTCGGTTGCTTAAGCTACCGCAGATTGCACATCATTGTTTAGTTTAGAATTATTATTGACAATTAGAGGTTATTTCTGTCTTCACTGCACAGTTCGGAGACTCCCAGCAACTGCGCCTGGTTCGGATCCTTCGAAGTACTGTGATGGTTCGTGTTGGAGGTGGATGGATGGCGCTTGATGAGTTCTTAGTGAAAAACGATCCCTGCAGGGGTAAGGAGATGCTCATGTCAAGATAACAGCATCATTACAGTGTAGCAATTTCTTAGTACTTTCCAGCATCAAAAACATACTGGGCATAATTTTGGTCATTTATTCCAATAGTGAATGTTTCACATTGGTCTGTCAGCCTAAAGTTCCCAGAGAACTTGTGGCAGTCATGTAAACCATGTTCTTCTCATTGTTTTTTTTTTTTTTACTTCTTCTGGATGAATATGAGACAGGTGGGCAAGAAATACTAGAATGGATTTTCTTAGTGAGATCCTCTGCGATTTTCGAAACAGTTACACCAACCCTGGAAGGGATTTTGTCCATCATTAAATAACAAAGTAAAAATGAAAGAAAATTGAGTGGATGAAGCCTGAAAATACTGGATAGTAAAAGTTTAAAAGTCAAAGCTTTTATGAAGTGAAGGGGAGGTGAGGAAAACAATACTTAAACAGTTTAAAAATAATACTCAACTAAGTTGACTCTCATTTTGAAGTTGCAGATTAGAACATTAAAAATATAAACATATAACACTATAGCTCTTGGAAATATCTACCAGCCCAAAGGTCCTAGGTTAGCTTTTAATTTTCCTGTCTTCAGATCCTACAGTCAATTTTTGAATTCTTAATTGATTTATTAATACATTACAAGTGGTCACTTGATTGCCATTTCTAATTAGGTACCATCTACTCAGTAGATCCATTTTTCTACCTTTGGGAAAAACAAACAATAAAACTGTTATGATTTTCTTTAACCTGTGAACTCATTTTAATCTTTTAAACAAACAAACATCAAATGTTTGTGCCAGTGCTGCCTATTTAGCCTGCCAAGTGGGAGGCCAGGGTTCCTCCGGTAGGGCCTTTTGGTTTTGGTGATGGTGTCACCACCTGGTATATACCGGTCGGAGTCGGCGGGTCTCTCTGCCAAGGCCACCAGGGGTTATTATACAACCTTATGCAGTAGCCCTGCTCTTTGCTGGCCAAAGATACTCCTGCGAGAGAAGTAAAATAAGAACCATTTTGTTTATATTTTGAAAATAATGCAGCCAAGGGTGAAATGCAGTTACATTTATGAAATGAAGAAATTAGAATATGTAGTGTTCTTGGGCTGCTTAGGAAACTTAGTGTGACACAATCTTCCAGATACGTTTTTTTAATTCAGTCAAATCTTCGAGTGCTTCTTTTCCTGATGCAACTTTTCTTCTAAAATGTGTGCTGAAGGCCGGATCTGAGCACCCTTTGCATTTTCAACTACTGTACTTTGTTTCTTCTTCTGCTAACAGTATTCTTTAATGTGATTGGTATCCTGTGTCATTTTTTCTAGTTCATCATCATGGGAGTAAAATGTTACGTTCGGAATCAAACTCTTCAATTACTACTACTCAGCCTACTATAGGTTGGCAACCCCTCTCTTTGCCTCTCCCCTCTTTCCTTTTCTCTTTCCTACTTTTACATTCTTGCTTTAATCATTTGTTTTAAAGTAACATGCTTCATCCATCGCGTATGGCTTAACTCATATCCAACTGAGCTGGTGCTTCCAAATTTAAATTCTGAAAATTTGACCCACTTTGGGTGTGTTGCAAAGGCAGGTGTTACGTAAGTGATCGAACACATGCTAACACGTTGCTCATCGGGTTCTTGTGGAGTGTTCTCCGTGTGCATATGTGTTTGTATGAGTGCTGCATCACTGATGACCCCACGGATCCTTGGGTCTGGTGTTTGTTATTGCATGTTGGTAAAACAGTTTTTCAAGGCATAAAATCAAAATACTAGCTGCCTCATTTAAGTGAAAAATCTGGAAGTTTATATGTTGTCATCATGACTAACAACCATCTCTCATTCTGTGTAATTCTATCATTTAATTAATCCCGATATTAACATGCTGCCATTCTCCTGACCCCAATAGTACATGCAAAAGACACAGTCCTGCCTTACCGGCTTGTCTTCTCAGTGTGGTGAAAGGGAAATGAAACCATGTGGGCATCAGTAGCTGGTGGATTAACAATATTTTAGCATGAGCTTTCCATTTTCATGCTGACACTTTCTTTAATAGTGGTTATTCTTGCTGGTGTCTAGTGTTAGAATAAGCACACTTGTTTTTTTTTTCCTTGCCCAACTCACTTGTATCCAAAAGGAATGCATTGGAAAGGAATGCATTTGACTTTTTGTTATGCTGAGTTGGAGTTGGCATGGCAAAAAGATGTTCTTGAAATTCTCAGCGTGATCTCTGGTGCCAGGTGGTTGTTCTTCTCATAAACGATTGAGTACCTCTTCTTTTCCTTCTCTTCTTCATGTGCATTGTTGCGTGTGTGATCCAGCCAAAGGAAGAACGAACATGGAACTGCGCGAGAAGTTCATTTTAGCGGATGGCGCCAGTCAGGGCATGGCTGCTTTCCGACCCCGGGGCCGAAGATCCCGGCCTTCGTCACGAGGAGCTTCCCCCAACAGATCTGCCTCTGTGTCCAGTCAGGCTGGGCAGGCGGCCTCCCCGCAGGTCCCTGCCACCAGCACACCCAAGGTAGGACTCGATAAAATCTGTTCCTCCTCCTGTGCAGTCTTTGTCCTAGGTATATGTTTGAATGTTTTATTTAAGTCCCTAGAATTTGTAGGACTAGCTGTCTCCCTTTGTGTTCCTTCTCATGATATTGGAAATGAAGGATTTAAAAAATGTATATATGCTTTTGCCTAGCGGCCCATATACAGATGATCTGTATAGGGGCTTTGTTATCTTTCAGATTTTTTTTAAGCTGCTTTCATTTATTTTATTTATTTATTTTGGGGTATATGATTTACCATCAGATCTTTCCACTTATTTTTGATTATTATTATTCTCACCTTGAAATGTGACTCTTTGCTATGAATATCTCTTTCTGTGGCTTTGTTTTTTATCTGCTGTCCTTTACATTTGATTTGCCATTGTTCCATACAGATTCTCCATCCTTTAACACGCAATTATGGTAAACCATGGTTGACAAACAGCAAAATGTCAACTCCTTGTAAACCTGCAGAGTGCTCAGACTTTCCCGTGCCATCCGCAGAGGTATTGTAAGGCCCCAGAGTCTAGTCTTAACAGTCTTCTTTAATTGAAACTATCACCCACTAACATTGCTTCACCACTCCCTTAATATAGGTACCTCTGATAATACTATGTATGTCTTTGTGTAGACTTCTGTAAAATAAGAACCACCCTGACAGTTCTTGGAAGACATGAAAATAAGGGGTTAACAGAAAAGACAGTTTATGGCTTTTTGAACAGTGTCAGCCCGGCATAGTCACACCTGCAGGCACTATACCGCCTTTGTTTTTTGGTTCTCACTCTATTCTACCTTTATCTCTTGGGAGAGTAAAATACAGGGGATTATATCCAGACCTAAGTAAAATTTCTTTTAAAGCTTATGGTATGCTTTTGCTACTAGACATAATTTGGGCAGAAAATCCCTTTAGATGGGAGTAAGAGGCAGTATTATTTGCAAGAGAATCACTTAAACTAAAAGAATGCGTATTGAGTGGTCGCTGTGGGCGTGGTTCTTCTGAATTACAGTGCATTCACTTCTGCCTGAAAACACTGGGCGGGTGTGACATAAGCTGTCAGTTATCAGCCCAGGGGTCAGTGAGGTGAGCTTAGATGTGCAGAAAGTTATCTGTCATTTTCAAAAAGTAATGTATCTTTCGTAGATTTTAATAACTAATATCACTTAAGCATGCTCCAGCTTTCTAATATAGCATGATGTATGGGGATGAAATATTTAGGGGATACAAAATTTACCAAGACTAACTCATAGATCATTGACATTCAATTGAAAGTCAGCCACGTATCTTTTCTAAGAAACCTCTCTGTGAAATGACAAAGGCACAAACAAATATCACCTATTTGATTAGAATTATAGTAATTAGGGTGAAAAAGTCCCTAAGTACCTTTTTTTCTTGAAATTAAGGAGTATTTCATCTTAACGATCAAGAATGTAACTTAACAGCCTGGACCCTTGTATAAAATGTAAGATAATAACTGTACACAGCCCTTCATGCTTTCCAAACACTTTATCTGTTACTTAATCCTCACATCAGTAATAAGCGGTAGGCAGAGAAAAGTTCCTTACTTTCATGACTTCATGGAAAGCCCTTTGCTGATAAGTGGGAGAATTGGGACCAAAACGACCCATTCTTCAGCATTTCCTTATTTCTTCCTCTTCATTCCCTCGAGCCCACCATTTCCATCCCTTCCTACCAAGTGGGCAACGTTAGTATCATACATTACATCTAGAGACATCTGTCATTTCTTAATAGAACTACTATAGCAAGAACTGAGAAAAGTTTAAAGAACCTCAAGTGACATATTAACACTTATTTTAAATGTTTAGGGCTATGATGCTATGTTAGTTTAAGTTTTTAAATAGTAGAAACTGCCCCAAATTAAAGGCAACGTATGTTATTTTGACTAATGGAAAACTATGTTTCATTTCAAAAAACCTCATAAAATGAAAACCAATCAACCATGCAAAAAAAAAACCAGTTTGTTTCTATGGAAGGGTCTGTGACAATAAAATAAAAACCATCAAGGCATTCTGAGAAGAATGATTTTGGTCTTTCAGGGTGATGCTACTTTGAGTGATATGTTTCACAAGTTGTAAGTTCTTACTCCCTCAAGAATTGTTGGGATTCTGTTTAAGTTAGGAATTTAACTAGATCAGTGTTGTCAGATCTTGAGCAAATGGGCCCTAATTTTTCACATTTGTAGAAAGGATATGAATTAAGTGAATGTGAAGATTATTGTGATTATGAGAGTGAAAGTATTTTGAAAACTCGAGCATTCTATGTACACAAATCACACCTAAATGCTACACCTAAGTATATTTATAGTATATATAGATGAATTATATGAATATGAATAAATGTAACTTTGATGTATCAAAGATCTTCCATATGCTTTATTAAACATTTTAAGCTATCTAATAAAGGTAAAATCAATTGTTAAAAAATGCACACATCTAATTTGTATAGATTCGTTTCCTCCAGATAGATCCCCGGCTCTATTCGTTGAGTGTGCATTGAGGGATATTGCATCCCTTATATTCCTCAAGAGATTTATTTATCTTTTTAATTTTGGGAGACTTTTCAAAATGCTGTAGTGATCTGAAAAAATGCGGTGAGTTTAGCCTTATAATAAAATCTCATAGATATGATTGTTTAGACTTTTTTTTTTTTTTACAAAATCCTGTAGTATTTTTAAAGAATTTTCCCCAAATGTTGCCCTATGTATCTTGTTTGTAAAGACTGTAGAAGGTGATAGAGCCGTGAAGTGAAGTGGTATCGTGCCGAGTTATAAAACATCACTCTTTTTTTCTTTTTGCAGTTCAGTTTGTTTAAGTCATAGCTTTCCAGTTATTTGTTTACTTGTCATTCTATCTCTGTTTATGTCTGCCTAGTTCCTTAAAAGCACTGGAGGCAGCAGACTATCCAAGCACAATTCTTCATTGCCCCTGCGCCCTCTCTACGCCATGCAGTTGCCATCTTTTTGGCAAAACTTTCTTAACTCTGTAATATTCACTGACAGTCTAAAAGATACTAACGTACTCACTGTTTAATTTGTCTTTCTTTCCTTGCCATCATTTTCGTACTCCATTGGGAATCTCCATTTTGTGTTTTCTCTTTAACCATCAATTAATTTTCTTTAGAAAGTTTCCTTTGAATTCTTAGAGAGAGAATAAGAAATTAGGGGAGAAAAACAAGTGAGAACCTCATGCCCCGTTTAATTGAAAAGTTTCTGCCCCTTCACTTCCTGAAGAGGTCTAGCAGAGGGTTTCCACCCATTTGTAAAGAAGTGGTGTTGGTGGAGTATCATGGCACAGGAGCAATATCTTGAAATGTGTTGTCACTGGTTAAATACAGGGAACACCAATACAAGGAAGCAAGCTTCGACTCCCAGGATATTTATCAGGGAAAAGCTTCCACTCTGGGGAGGACAGTGGCTTGATAACAACTGCGGCTGCCAGAGTCCGAACACAATTTGCTGGTGAGTGTGGTGCATTTCTCTTTTGAATGACTTCTGCAGCGTGATCATCTGAAGATTAAAGTCCCTTTTTTTCCCCTTCCTTGGGGGAGAAATTACAAATTGACACTAATGTATTCTTTTAAAATGGCATGTAGTCCCTGTCCTCCAGCAAAGGTAGGGGATAAATGAGTCATGGTAGCAACTGACTGAAAAGTCCCTTTTGGAAAGTGCCAAAGAAAGATGGAAGAATTACTGTGAAACAGAAGAAAAAATACAACAGTACTCTACCCCTTCCAGGTGGGAAGGTCTTGGCTGTTCTGCCTGCTCGAAGACTGCACAAGCAGGTCCCTGTTTCGGGTGGTTGGAAAAACTCAGCCACACTGAGCCTTACACCAGTGGGCCCCCCCCCAATTCCTTCACAGAATAGTGAATTTACTAACCCCTGGGTTCTGAGCTCAACAAGAATGAAGCTTCTTTAAAGTTTCAAGTTTTATATTTCAAATTCATACATTCTTGCAGTTACCTGCTCTCAGGCAAGATTTACACCTAAAAGTTTGCTCCTTGATTGCACTGCACATATCCCTGGGTACACATGCTAAAGTTTAGAAAGCATAATCTTAAATGATAGATATATTCCTTAATATTCCTTATGTCTGTTTGTAATAAATGGAATCCCGTTTTAAATGACGTGAGCCCAAACTTACCTTTTGTATGTAAATCTCGCCTTTGCTGTATTGTGTCTACTTAGAGTAAAGCCACCTACCTTTGCATAACAGGGAAAGGCCATAAATCCACAAGTATTTTCTGAGTGCCTACTAGGTGTCAGGGAAAAATGTTGAGATTAAAGGTGGCATCGGGTTTCAAAAATCAGTTGCAGATGGACCCAATCATAAAGGTGACCCATCCCTGCCTTCTCTCCTCAGATTCCAAGAAGACTCCCAGCCGGCCAGGAAGTCGAGCTGGAAGCAAAGCTGGTAGCAGGGCCAGCAGCCGCCGAGGCAGTGACGCATCAGACTTTGACATTTCAGAAATCCAGTCCGTGTGCTCAGACGTGGAGGCTGTCCCCCAGACGCACAGACCTACGCCCCGAGCAGGTTCTCGGCCATCCACAGCCAAGCCTTCCAAAATCCCCACACCGCAGAGGAAATCACCTGCCAGCAAATTGGACAAGTCCTCAAAGAGATAGTGCAATTGGTTCCACCAAGATTCTTCCTCGAGCATTTATTATTTAAGTTTGAACAATGTAAAATATGATGTAGAAATTCTTGTGAAATATTGTAAGAGGCGAGTTTAAAATTCTGCAGATGGCCTTATTTGTGTATTTGTCTTTTTATTTTATCTGTATAATTTTCTTTTTGTCAGATATTCTGGGGTTACAGTCACATCGTACGTGAGCGGGAAGAAAGAATTTAACATGCACTAACATTTCTGCGCTGTAACGTGCAGAGCACACACTAAAATCAGTTACTGTACCTACAGGTAAGTCTACATCCTCTCTGACAACCACAGCACTACGTGCATTGCTAACGTTAAGGATACCTCATGACATTTTCTCCCGTTTATGGAAGCTCTGAAAAGCTGAAAGACACACACAGGGGATATATTTTAAGATGATTCAAATGTAAGCTGAAGGACACAAGACAGAAAGACAAACACATCCACACACAATTCTTTAAGCACTATCTGACAGAGAACTCACAGGAAGTTACTTCCAGCACTTGCCGGGACTCTGCTATTCAAGTACTTTGCAGCATTTCTGTGCCATTGCTCTCCGCGAGGCCAGAGGCACCCTGGATATTAGACCTATTATACCGTAAGAATATTATTATAAAGTGCATTCATCTACATGTGAGGTTTTCTTTTGCTTGAGTGGACAGTAGCACCTGTATCATTGAACTCATTTTGTATCAAAGCAATTTTGCTTGCAGAAAGCTATGAAATAAAACATGTCCCTTAACTGCATTGCTACGGAATTAATTTTTTTCCCCAGGGAAAATTAGTGTATTTTTTTATGAGCAATATCAATTTGGAGTGACCAAAAGATACTTAAAAATGGGTTTATTTTGATTTCTCATCTGAAATAATCATGTTCTGGTATTATATCTATCTATATTTAATAAATATATACATTTTAATTTATTATGTATACTCACATACTATAGAAAGATTAGTATGCATTTAATAAAACATATTCACTTGAATATATGGAATACCTGATTATTTAAAGTGAACTTTTCTGTTGTTTATTTTAAATGAAGGTTATATATTTATGTTTACTAATAGTAAATAGGCTAAATTGGGAGGACATCAAAAACAGGGAGTTAAAATAATGTTAACTACTCGTTCTACAAATATTTTTAATAAATACCAGCCTTGTGCTGGCCACTGTCGGTGACACTGAGGCTACCAGGCTCCTTTCCTCTTATTTTCAAGGGGAAACAAATAAACAAATCACTAAAAAAACATGAACTGAAAGCAGAGGGTGTGTGACAGGATGACTGATTTTATTAAGGTAATATAGTGGTATTCTTCTGGCCTGTGTACATTTAAAAGTCAAATTGTAAAATTTTCCTACCTATGAAAATAGCAACAGGTACCCTTAGAAGAATAGCAGATTGTTACTTTTGGGCATGACAGACCCAACATTCTGCATAACTTTGTGAATTTAGTTTACCAAGTGGCAGCGGTGGTGTTCAGGTTCAAGGGAACAGTATTATGTTTTCCTGCTTGGCCTTTATAATGGAGACCGACACTGAAGAGCCCGGAGTTTCCACCAGCATAAATTACGTGCCATTTTTAAGCAATCATAATTCATTCTTTGTCAAGGCGTGGATCTCAGGTGGGAGCCCTTGGTGGAAAGGGTAATTCTAACCTATGGGATCACATGCTGTATGGTTCATGCATTTGATTATAAACATGTCATCTGAGAAGGCATTTGAAATTGTTTTTACTCTTTTAGTGCTTTGCATATGATCACATTTCCATTTCAAAGACAAATTTAAGGCAGTGATTTTATCTCGAACTGTTTGAATGTTAGCCCTGTTAAAGAGCTAAGGATTTTGCCTTTTTAGTAGTAAAAGAAGCTTTTTGGAAAAGATAAGTAGTTTAATATAAGAAGTCTTAAGGAACTGCTCCCTGTTCCTTAAGGAGCATTTGCTCTCGGGGGGAGCTTTCCTCACTTCCACATGATACCTGATCATTTCTTTCCTCTTACGCTGATAGTCCTGAGCCTCAAGGCTGGTTTCTGAAGAGTCCTTCTCTTTTCCTTTTCTTATTCTCTTCTTTATTTTTTTGTTTTCTTTTGTTCTTTAAAAAACAGAACATTAGAATGAACCTCAACTCCAAACGTCTTACTTGGACAGATTGGCTGTTAAGCATGAAGGAAGCGGAATGGTGGAGTAGACTGTTTCTGTCTTAAAAATCAAAACTACTTCTTGTCAGGTGCTGCTACCTTCCTTTGCAATAAGGGAGCATCCTCTCTGACAGCAGTACAGAGAGGATGGGCCTGGCCAAATCTCAGACGCAGGAGGGAGGGCTTGGGAAGTGCCCCCAGGGCTGTCCCAGATTGACCTGTAAAATGAAAAGAGGGGAGGAGGTGAAGAAAGGACCTTGTTTTCTTTTTTGGGTCATTTTAAACTTGCTCTCTGTATTTGTAACAAGGGAAATTGTAATGAGATACAGATGTCTACTCCTTTTTGAGCAGGTGCTTTGAAATGTGTGTACTTTATCTTCAAATGGGTGATCTCATACCACCAACAATACACTTGCAAGTGCCTGCTGTTTCTCTGTGCGTGTCTGATGACACTGCCCCCTGGGTCCCCCAAAGAAGGCAAAGACACTTTAGCTATGTCTTTTAGTACTTTAGTAACTAAAGTCCTTTTAGTCCTGTTGGAAATTGATTTGACAGTTACCAAAATCACTTGGAAGTGAATAAAATCAGGGACAAGATGTTTGCACAAGAAATAGTAGGACTATTTAAAATATCTAATTTAACCTACCAAACTGTGCAAATTTGGTTCATTTTATGCATCTCTTGTGGCTATGTAGAAGTTAAATAGGGAGAAGGACCACAAAAATAGGAGATCTTTTATGCTGCTGCTGCTTCTGATGTTCTAAATTAAGAATATATGTAAAGCAAAGTGTGTTCAAAGGAATTTCATATTAGTTTACTCACACTTTTATTGTACTTCATTATTGGAAATTAAGGACTGCATGGGAGATGGGAACAAAATAGAGATTAAGAAGTTTTCAGAAGTTTTTCCCAAATAAAAATAAAACATTCTTTTAGAATGTTACTAATCTTAAAGTACAGCTATTTTTGCCCCAGGGCACAGACTAGAAATTTAGTTCCCAGAGCCTTAGACTCTAACTTCTGTGCCAATGGCCTCCAGACTTCTTTGTTGGCATCTTCCTATCAGTACAGGTTTTAAGAGCAAACACCTCCAATGTACATTAATTTCTTCTAAGATATTATATGCATGTATTTTATCATTAGTTAATTTCTCAAGGCTCACTATAATCTTAAAATGAGCTTTATCTTAGCAACATTGGTGTACGTCCATATCTTATATAGCCTTGACAACATTTTTGGCCAAGTTTTTGCAAATTGGATGAGACTGTCTCTGGTTTAACTCATGATATGGCTGATGAGGAACTTGTTCAAGGAAGAGAAGTGTCATCTCTGCCATTTTCTTGTTGCTTATATGATTCTTGCATTATAAATGTCTTAAATCCATGGTTATTTTGTAGGGATCTGTTTAGACCATTTTTTGTAAAGATTATTTAGTGAAAAAGAGATAATAAAAATGTGTACATTCACCCAACTTGACGTAGATAAACTGCAGTTTGCTGCACTTGCTGACAGCAAACCAAAGAGTTTGAGAGGCTGTTGGGACTTCCACCCTTGCCCTCGGGTCACCTCAGATACAATGAGAGCACTGTGGATGTCACTGGAACGATGGCAGCAGTGTCAGTCTGTAGTAAATGTTAGTGAAGGTTAATTTCCTCCTCCTCCTTTTAGAAGAAATGTAAATATAAATAGATGTCTTATTTTCTTTCCACATCCTATGAGGTCACCTTGCATACATCCAATTTTATAATTCATTGTTCTATATTACTTTCTTCTTTCTACCTCTTCTCAACCATCTTTTTCCAAAGAGTGGAATTATGCTACAAAGTCTCTTCCTTTCTCCTCTGATACTAGACATGCAAGGACATGCATACCTGTTCTGGTAGAGAGAGGCTGAGAGGACATATTAACATTCCCAAAGCCACAGTTACAGTTCTAGCCCCCGTTACCTCTCACTTGTGCTACTACAACGACCAACTGCTGAGTTCCTCATTTCCAGTGTCTTCAGATACCAGGTTGGAGGAATTGGCCTTATGGGGAGAAACATGCCCATTGATGTGAAGGACTGAAAGAAAGGAGGATTAAGATGTGAGAAGAGATGATGAGGGAGTTATTCTGCACTGTCTTATTTCTTAGTAAATTAGAAGATAAGATTTCCTGCCTAGAGTTAAGGGAAAGGTCATAGATTAAGAAGGTTTGAAATAGCTGAGGCCATGGATTTATAGTTACCCCGATCTCCAGGGTGCAGCCTAGCTTGGGGACAGAGGGGACAGAAAGTTAATTGACCTAGAGCGGGGGTTTGTTTTTTCAGTCAGGTGTAACAGGTAAAGCAATGGAAGGAAGCAGGAGCCATAGGATGGGTGTTTACCTCAGAATCGGGTGTTAGGGTACCCAGAGGAAAGGATTTGGGAGGGAGGCTCACTGTGGGTGGGAGTTTGAGTCAGAGTAGTGGAAGGCTAGAGAAGTATGCATGAGCTCACAGGAGCGAATGCATGACCAAGAGGGACCTATATTTGGGGCATTGTCTGAAGGTTGCAAGAATATAAATTTTGGGGGCCTCAGTATCTCTTTAAACATCAGTGTCAGCTGTTCCAATTCTTCATTGATTTTTATTATGCTTACAACAGAATCTGCGTGGAGAAAGCAATCACAGTCACCCCCTTGCAGTGGGGGAGAGAGTGGAAGAAGCTGCCTTTCACTGTCAAAGCCCTGAGTAGGCTGAGGGGTACGTGTGTGTAGCTCTGGCTTTTCGAGAAGGCAGGAGTTCAGGCTTCAGGAGTATGATATTTCAGTATATACTCATTAGATATGGCTTCGGGAATGAGTTAAAAGTGAATTACCACCGTGAAGACTACATTTCTGAAAGGAGGACCAACCAGGTAGACAAATGTACAAGGCTATGGTTTTAATTATCCAGTATAGAAAAGTTTGTTTCAAAAATAACCTGCCAATGAATATATGTTCTTGTCAATAGTCTAGTCACAGCATATATGTTTGAGAACTGACCAATGAAGTCAGAGGAATAGAATAGGTTTGAAGCAATGTCTTCCTAGATTTTTACAGTGCCGTATCTGACAATGGATTAATTTTGAGTTGTTACTCCTGGGAGACTTTTTGTATCTTAGTTATTACACTTGATTACACTCATATTGATTTTTTTGTCTTACATTTGTGTGTCAATTTTAGTTTATAAATCTCTTAACATATATATATATCTTACATGAGGTTCCCAACCAGTCATCGAATTAGTAGATAAATATTATTTGAATTTTATGAATAATTTAAATGAAGCAAGAGAGGTGCTTATTTGTCCAAGGTTACATAGCTATAAAATGACCGAGTAGATAGATCTTTCCATGCTGAGACCAATGATCATTCCACTGCATCTCACCATTACACCTGGGCCTATGTAGTCTTTTCTAAAGGTGGTAACTTCATAAGGAAGATGTGATCATGGCCTTTCTCAGGAGACAATACCAGAGATCTGGATTTTTCCAGAGTAGCAAACTTCATATTAAGATAGTTTTAGATTCTTCTTTGGAGTATTGGAAATGCCTTATGTTCCATTGTTTCATGTTTCATCAAATTATCTGGCTCCAGAAGGTAGCAACCTGATAGAATTGGTTTGCTGAGTCATGGTCTGATTCGAGGCAGCTAATATTTAACAACCTTTCCCACTTCAACCATTACAAGATGCACAATGAGTTCCCTGTAAAGTTGTTTCTTCACTTAGCTACCAAAGAGTTCTGATTCCTCCTCTGCTGCCAATAGTATCTTAAATGACTTACTTGAAGTAGACTTTTGCTTAAGTTCACTGACAATATGTAGAGATAAATGTTGGAACTTTTCATT